TTTTATTGTTTTTTTGTCACTTTGAATAATATTTCTGTTCATGTTAAAAACAAAATCAACTCTCTGTATAAATATATCAGGTGACCGTTAAGGCCCATGGGCCTCTTGTTCTACAGATCTCTTTGAAACTTGGTATACATTATCATCATGATATGAAGTTGTGTCTCCCTTAAAAGAATTTTGATTCAACGATTTTTTCAAAAGTTATTGCCCTTTGTTTATTTCAGTATTTTATTTTTTGTCTGGAGATTTTCTCCTACATTTTTTTATAGCATGTCAGCTAACCACTCTTAGAATGATGCAGATCTTATTTCAATGTAAGAAAGTATATAACACTATATGGCATTCGACGGGTGTATATTGTTCCGCTCCGCAGCACTCTTGTTCAAGGTTATCATCCTTCATTTTTATACTGTGCAATTAAAGTTCCTGGATAGCAACATTGGCGAAATGCAGGATTGACGTTTAACAAGAGGCTCTTGAGTTCAACGTTTTTTGGGTTTTTTCATGAACTGAAATTTCAAACAACTATTATTCAGTGGTATACATTAAAAGGTGTTCATGTGATTTAGATAGAAAATTTGTGTTGGAAATTACCTTATTTTATAAAAATGTCAAAAGTAATAAAACATTTTTAAAAATAGCTTGCATAAAATTTTGTCCTATTAATGTAATGGCCATTTCTTTCGCTGCCGAAAATTTTCCACTGGGGAACGAACTATTTATGCTAGGAATTAATTTTGTGCAAATTTACAACATCACATATATATATATATATATAAGTAGGAAAGAAAAGAGGAAAGGATTGCACTGTGCACATACCTTTTATCTCTGCTTCAGTTCTGCTGGCAAGGTCTAGAGATAAAGGCATAACATTTGTGTCCATGTTTTCTTCATCCATGTGCATTTCAGTGCAAAAAGTGTTTATGCGATTGTGTGGGTAGAAATTGATAGATCTTGGGTCTGTCGTAAGAATGAGCCTCGGTTGTGTTTTCTGTTTGTTTTATATTTGATAGTTTCTGTTTTTGTTATGCCTGATTACTTAACGAGTAATGCAAGAATGTCAGCTAGCTTCTAGAGGTTTCGAAGTCTGAGAAGAAAAACTGGTCAAATAAATCCGAAAATATAGCTGTTTCGTGATCGAAGTTGATTTTTAATGACTCCGTTTCAGTCAGTTCTTGGGAGATTCTTTATCAACAAACTCTGGTGGCTTGCCATTTGCGCAACCTTCCTAAAATAAGCTGATTGTATAGGTTCCAATGTGTTGCTGAAGCGCAGCTTCATAACATTTCTGCATACTTTTACAGCGTAAATCGTACAGATATCTAGTTACAGATGTACACACCAAGACGTACATGTATATCATTAGTATGTCCGATTAAAAAAAAAAAGGACCCCAGGAATCACAGAACTTCCTGACTTCAGGGACATATATTCTCAATTAATTGTCAAAATCAGATCTATTTTAACAGCAGTATTTCCTCAAACCTTGATTTAAATCATTTAAAAAATTAATTAACGTACAAAAAATCAAACTTTAGAACTAATGAGATGAAATTTGGAATTAAAACAAAATATTAAAGTTTATGTTCTTAGAGTTTAGAAGTTTGATGGTATTTGCGGTGACCAGATCTCGCAGCTTTCTGTCTTAAGTTTGCTGTACGAAGGTGAATTAGTGTAAGAAAGATCTTGCAAAAAATGACTGACAAGTTTTCTGCGGTAATTTAATGAATGGGGAACAAACTGCAGTTGAGTTTAACTGCAAAGTTGATTTTGAGAAGATGCTTTCTCAGCATGCTGTCCTGAAAGCTAGCATGTGTATAGGTGTCTTGTAAGTGGGGTAAATCCTCAACCTGTCAGTTGTTTCCCCCATCCAAAACATACATGATGTATTTGTCCAAGGGGAAAATGTGTTTTTTCAGATAAAATACGAACGTTATGGGAGAAACAGGTCCCCTAACTCGTGATGGTAGGTTATCATGTTTATCTAACTCGAGTTAGTTAATTATCAAATTGTAAAAGACACTCGGTAAATCTCGTGCCTTTATACAATTTGAAGATTAACTAACTCGAGTTAGATAAATTTGATAAACAAGTATCACGTGTTGGGAAACCTCTATTTAATGTTTAAAAATTTACAATATGCAGATATGAGATGTAACCATACACTTCTGACCAATGACAGTTAAGGATATCTGAGTACCATACACTGCCAAAAGCTGTAGCCAAGTGTTGGAAACTGTTTTTCTGGCATGGCTATAGCTTTGATAAATCATTTCTGAAATGAAAACCATAATTTGTGGGACTTAAATGAAAAAATTATGAAGATGAAATAAATAATATATAATCAACAATAGTGTTCTGAATGTAAAATTTTAGTGAGGATAGAACGGGATTCCAACCCTGGACTACAGCCTGTCATATTATCACTCTTACCCACTGAACTTCCTTGTCATCGGAAGTGTTAGGGCCCAACTGCGCTATAGTTATATCCAAACAGAAATTAAGGGGAGGTTATATAACGTCTATACGAAAAACTACAGTGCAGGGGGACAGGGGTCCTTAATAATGCCTAGATATTCCTTTGATGTTTGTAATTGATATGTACAAGTGAGGTTAGGATAAAACGCCTCGTCAATGAAATGTGTGAATGTGCAGATGAAAATGCATCAAGCTACTCACTCTATCTTCATCAACAAATATGTTTTGATATTGCGTTTATGTGTGTATATATGTCTCCTTTGATATGCACTTCTGTGGCACTTATTGCGTAGCGAGACCGAATTCCGACATGGAACATGATAATAGGTGTTATCTGCCAGAGCTACCATAGTAGACACTCCACTTGTATATTTAGATGCATCTAACATCTGCCCTGAAAAGTTGCCAAGAACATTTGTTAGCACCACTGTATTGTTACGAAACAATTTGTTATTGTTTATCAATTACAATCGGCTGGGGTTGTGCGGTAAAAATGTACATAATGAGCATGGCTATCACTCTTTTCCGAAACGGCTGTTTTTTGACAATGCATATATATACATTTTTTTTCCTCTTTGATTTATTTGTATATAACTCTATGTATATGTGGCCAGTTTTATTCTGACAAAAATTGTAATACTATGTTATTATTTCATATCTAGGATAATTCCATTTTACCAATGAGAAATTGCTATAAAACGGAGATGAATATTATTTTCATACCTCAGAATATGTAATTTCTGCTGTCTTAAATGTTCGAGATTCTGAACAAAATATTTGACCGATTTTCACATTTTTTTCCTCATCACGTGCACGTAATTATATAATGCCTGGTCCATCTGAATCAACTTAATGCTATAATGCTGCATTGCTTTTATGTATGTATATGTTGTCTATTATATGTAATTCTCTGGCACTTATTGCGGAGCGAGACCGAATTCTGACATGGAACATAATGTAAGGTCATATCTGTCAGGTTTTCGATTGCTCTCCAGCTGAAGGCTGTTGCCAAAGCTATGGAGACAGTCTTATAGCTGTGAACAAACTAAAGCTATACTTCATTAGTTCAGCGAATGTGGAAAAACAAGTAAATGCTATTGTAAAATCCTGTTACAACAAGATAATGAACATTGGACGTATCAGGCAGTTTATTCCTACTGTTGCAATGTAATACAGAGATCACATTAAATTTTTACTTTCTTATTTTGACTATGGTAGTGTCCTTAGCTGTGGTATATATCTGATACACTAAACGAGCCGTCTGCGGATGATTAGGAAAATTGCAGTAAATCTGGTTACCTGTATTTGAAAGAGATAGCACACCACTGCTATATCCACAGCATTGATTTTGGTGCAGTACAGGATGTAGTACAAAATTTTGATGCACAAGTTGCTAAATGGAGCAGAGCTCCTAGTTACTTTCATGAGATTGTCACCCTTTATCTGTAATCATGATCACTTGTGTTGTAAACAGAATCTTTGTTGTTCATTCCAATACCTTGTACTGTGACCAATGGAAACTGGTATTTCAGAAAGATAGCAGCCTCTTGAGATGAAATACTCTAGTATCTGCTACAAGAATGTTGAAAATTAACCTTCACTCCATCCAGGAAGGGTGTCAAAACTCACCTGATTTTACCAATACCCTATACTTTTTTCACTCCTGACTTAACAGAAACTTGACTTTACCAACAACTGACTTTAAAGCCATTCTGTACTTTCTGACATGAATTTATGATCCCAAACTAGGACTTGTTTCTTCGTATTCTACCCTGGCTTTAGTGTCACACACTTCCATACCTGACTAAGCGGTTCTTCCCTATCAATATCATAAACTCATTCACCCCTGAAGACACATTTGTACTCTTCCAATGCCAACCCTGGAATAGTTCAGTATGAAATTTCAGGGGTGAACAAGTTAAAGACAGGTTTCATGGAAAACTGTTCTACCTTTGAATCTATAATTAAATAATGAAGTTGAACAAGTGTTGTCGTGATTAGTCTTGATTGTCTGCCTATTCACAAACAAATTATAATGTTAGAATCTATAATTAAATAATTAAGTTGAACAAGTGTTGTCGTGATTAGTATTGATTGTCTGCCTATTCATCCACCTTTTTAAATTTCAGGATGGGATGCAGATGTTTCTGGGACTCAGACACAGACAATTATGCTCAGGATATTTTTATGAATGTGAGTATCGGATGTGTGTTATGAATTAGCAATACCTTGATTGCTGTTATGTAATAATTCTGTGTACTTCGATGTGGTGCTGTATACAAATATATGACGAATATGGAGACCTAGAGCACAGTGTTTGTTGGTGTCCATACTGTGTCAGGTTTATCAGGTTATCGCATCGTACTCATCTTGCAGTCAATACGATCGAGGGTCAAACACAAAATCTCCGACTCAAAAGAAGGGGCGCAGGGCTTATTACAGACTAATGGAATAATATTTGTTGCATTTTGACTGAAAGGTATTTTAATATATCATGAGTGGGCTTATTAGCAGGCATGGGCATTGTTAGGTCACTTGAGCAAGTCCATCGTCGTGCGTAAACTTTTTACATTTTCAACTTCTTCTCAAGAACCAGCGTATGGATGTTTTTCAAACTTGGTCAGGATAATCCTTGGTAGATGAGGCTACAAAATTGTAAAATTGGGATTCCTACCCCAACCCCCTGTGGTCAGGGCGGGGCCCCAAAGGGAAAATTAACCAATATTTCAAAAAAAATCTCCTCCAGACTCAGAGGTACTACACTATTTTCTTTGCATGGAAAGAAAATCATCAAGGGCTTTATTTAAATCGTAAATTTCAGGACCCCGAGCTATCCATTCTCCCTTGGGGAGGGGGTAAAGTTTACTATAGTTTATTTAGGTGAAATAACACTTTTGGGTATTTTTTTATCCATTTTCAGCAGAAAATTACTCAAACTTAGTCAGAATCATCTTTGGGGAATGAGAGTATTACTTTGTAAAATTGGGATTCCTGCCCCATCCCCAGGGGCTAGGGCGGAGCAGTTACAAGGTACTGGGCCACAGGGTGGTGGCTATTCTCTGGGTACTCCAGCTTTCCTCCACCACCTAAACCTGGCTCGTCCATAAATGACCATTATAGTTGTTGATAGGACATAAAACACAAACTAGCTAGGCCAAACCTTACAAACTGCTACTTAAAACCGTTACTTTAAACCTAAATGTACATCTTTACCTCATGGGTTTTATGATTTTACATCAAATAGGGATGACCATGATTTTAAATGTCTTGCGCATATCTATTCTTACACAATTTACAAGGAGTATATACTCAAGTGGTTGGTTGTTGTTAATGTGGGGAAAATATACAAGATCTCTAAAATGATCCTCCGAGGAAGATGCCTTTATACTGCATTCAGAACAATAATGGACTATAAACCCAAAAATAATTCACTGGGTAAAATTTGATATAATTTGGAGGACAGTGTTTCACCTACCATTGATAACACCAGAAATGATCAGCTGGCTTTAATGAATTTGTGGTCACATGCTCAGACAAAATATGTGATAAGCCGATTTCAAGATGCTTGTACAGAAATTCTGGGCTTTGTTTCAGGATGGAGTGCTGTCTGTTACTGATAGAGCTCTCGTTTCTCCTGTTACTACATGTCATTATTAACATGTTACAAAGGGAATCCTATTTATCCATGTCTGAGCTTTACAGCTCTGCTTCTACAAAATTGCTTTCTGCACTACGAAAAAAAAAATCTAAGACAAAAATAGGTTTGGGCCTAGGAGAAAGAGTTCATATTACAAGGAGCAAAATTTAGCCTTACTTTATTCCGTAGACAAAATTAGATTTTCCATGCAACTAAGTGATAATTCGATTTCAGAATAATTTTGTTAAGTTACATGAATGACACATTATCAGAATTTTTAATTTTTTAATTTACCCTATATAATGTTTATTGTTACAAGGATATAAAAGCAATTGTACAACTTCATCTGAAGGATATCTCACTCCTACAAAAATCCTTGAAGATATTAATAAAAGCTCATCAGTGTAAAGTACTTTCAATAAATTTAGATTTCTAGCAATTAGTGGAACCTTGTTAGTCTAGACACTGGTTTGTGTACACTGTACACAGTGGAACCTTGCTAGTCTGGACACTGATTTGTGTACACTGTACACAGTGGAACCTTGCTAGTATGGACACTGATTTGTGTACACTGTATACAGTGGAACCTTGTTAGTCTGAACACTGATTTGTGTACCCTGTATACAGTGGAACCTTGTTAGTCTGATTTGTGTACACTGTATACAGTGGAACCTTGTTAGTCTGGATACTGATTTGTGTACACTGTATACATTTGAACCTTGTTAGTCTGAACTCTGGTTTGTGTACACTGTACCCAGTGGAACCTTGTTAGTCTTGACACTGGTTTGTGTACACTGTAAACAGGGGAACCTTGTTAGTCTGAACACTGGTTTGAGTACACTGTACACAATGGAACCTTGTTAGTCTGAACTCTGGTTTGTGTACACTGTAAACAGGGGAACCTTGTTAGTCTGAACATTGATTTGTGTACACTGTACCCAGTGGAACCTTGTTAGTCTTGACACTGGTTTGTGTACAATGTACACAGTCGAACCTTGTTAGTCTGATCACTGGTTTGTGTACAATGTACACAGTGGAATGTTGTTAGTCTGGACACTGATTTCTGTACACTGTACACAGTGGACCCTTGTTAGTCTGGACACTGGTTTGTCTACACTATACACAATGGAACATTGCTAGTCTGGACACTGGGTTGTGTACACTATACACAATGGAACATTGCTAGTCTGGACACTGGATTGTGTACACTGTACACAAACCAGTGTCCCGACTAGCAAGGTTCCATTGGGTATAGTGTACACAAACCATTGTCCAGACTAGCAAGGTACCACTGAGTACAGTGTACACAAGTCAGTGTCCAGACTAACAAGGTTCGACTGTGTACATTGTACACAAATCAGTGTCCAAACTAGCAAGGTTCCACTGTGTACATTGTACACAAACCAGTGTCAAGACTAACAAGGTTCCACAGTGTAAAGTGTACACAAACCAGTGTCCAGCCTAGCAAGGTTCCATTGTGAATAGTGTACGTAAACCAGTGCCCAGACTAGCAAGGTTCCAATGTGTACAGTGTACACAAAACAGTGTCCAGACTAACAAGGTTCCACTGGGTACAGTGTACACAAATCAGACTAACAAGATTCCACTGTGTACAGTGTACACAAGCCAGTGTCCAGACAAGCAAGGTTCCATTGTGTATAGTGTACCCAAACCAGTGTTCAGACTAAGAAGGTTCCACAGTGTATAGGGTACACAAACCAGTGTTAAGACTAACAAGGTTCCATTGTGTACACTGTACACAATGGAACCTTGTTAGTCTTAACACTGGTTTGTGTACCCTGTACACAGTGGAACCTTGTTACTCTGAACACTGGTTTGTGTACACTGTCCACAGTGGAACCTTGTTAGTCCTAACACTGGTTTGTGTACACTGTAAACAGGGGAACCTTGTTAGTCTGAACTCTGGTTTGTGTACACTGTACACATTGGAACCTTGCTAGTCTGGGCACTGGTTTGTGTACACTGTACATAGTGGAACCTTGCTTGTCTGGACACTGGTTTGTGTACACTGTACACAGTGGAACCTTGTTTTTATAAACAAATTGTAAGCAATGGAGCCTTGGTTTGTGTGTTCAATGGTACCCTTGTTAGTCCATGCCAGATACCTTTTTTATGAGTACACTGAAAGGTTTTTAATATATGTTCGGTCACTTTTATTCATAAGCACAGTAAAACCCTAGTTAGGATGGGTAGTTTGGTTTGTAGTCATATTTGAACCTTGTCAGTCAGGACATTTTTGTTTATTGGCTAGATTTACAAGTTTATACTGAATGAAAAAGTGTTGGGGTTGTAGAGTTCATTCTCCACATTCTACGGTATAAATGGAATGAAAATAGAGATACTTGACGGTGCCAAGTAAAAAGATTACAATTTATAGTTATATAATTACTGCACACTCACTGACACGATCACACCAGGGTGGGGAGAGATCCCGGAGATAATTAATACTCAGAAGAAATTTAAAAAATGTTTCAACATGTGTGGCACTATGCTGTAAGGTTGACTTAAGCCAATAAAAACTTGAATCTGTTTGAAATTCTGAACATTTTCAACATTTTGTTTTTATTGCTGTTAAATTTCACGTCTTATTTCCTGGTCACTATATACATATATATGAATATCATAAAATCTTAAATGATTTGATTTTATGTTTTTAAAGCATTCCTACAACCAGTAGTAAAATCCCATGGCCTACAGAAAAGATAAAGTAGAATAATTCAATAGACATCAGTCGGTTCCTTTTACGTGATTTTTGTCTCAAAATAAGCCAAAAAGTGTTAACAGACATGAATGTTTTAACAGATTTGTCTCATATTCCTATGTGTAAATGGAATAATGACTTGTGATCCCATTTTTTAAAATATAGTGCTTTCACTGAAACAGGAAGTGACACATATAGGAACAGAATGAAATGTGTAATACTAAATCTCGCTGTGCTGAATTGGAACCTACAATGTATGGTGCAGGTGGATCAGTCTTAGGAATGGATCTTCATCTTAACCACTAATTATGGATGTTTCAAATTTATTTAACAAAAAACCTTTATAAAATAAGATTGAAATCATGAAATTTGATTGATTGTTTTCATTCAAATTTGATATGTGAATGTGCACCCACATGTATTAATTAGCACAGGTAAACCAGAAGTTGACAGTATATAAAAAAAATCTCCAGATTTTAGTCACCTAATTGATATTGATTCTGTTTTATTTTTTCAGGATTCCTTGTTCTGTGTAGCCGCAGCCTTCGGATGTTTCTTCTACTGATAGAAAGATGATCTTCACCAGCAAAACCATTCCATTATCCGTCCACATTAAGAATCCCTGTGATGTCACTAGACTGTGATGTCAAAGGGTTGTGATGTCACTAGACTGTGATGTCAAAGGGTTGTGATGTCACTAGACTGATGTCATAAGGCTGTGATGTCATTAGACTGTGATGTCATAAGGCTGTGATGTCATAAGGCTGTGATGTCATAAGTTTGTGATGTCATATTAACTGTGATGTCATAAGACTTTTGATGAGAGAAGTAGACTTACAGTCCAGTTTTCAACTGTAAGTGTTCCCCAAGATATATCAATCTTTTTGAAGAAAAAAACATTAGAGGAATTATTTATGAGAAGTAACAACACCAAAAAATCCCATTAGAGTTGTACTTTTATTTCTGAACGTGGAAAAACAAAATGCTTCGTATGATTTTACTAATTGTAATGGAAAAATAGATGTACGACGAGGAGGAGTCTTCTCAGAGGTCTAGAATACTCCAGGGGGGAAAAAACGATCATTTCCTATTCCACTCCAAAGGGTGATGAAAGCTCATCAGACAACCACAACCAAACTTACAGACTAAGCTTCTACACACAGAATTAATTGTCAGAAAGTGTCTGCTCGAATCTTAATGACGTTTACTTGTAATTATCATGTGTATGTAGTATGAAACGAGCACCTATAGATTTATTGTTCAACGAAGTACCAAAACCAGACAAGGGTTGTCGGGGAGTTGGTGAAGGGGGGGGGGGGGG